GGAAATCCAGGAATTCTTAAAGTGGTCTTTCCCACACTCTACTGAACCATCCTCCCAAGGAAAAATTCTTCTCTTGCCCACCGGCTGAATATTGAACAGAGACCAACACCTACCCTGTCACTTGAAGGTTCATTTTCCCTTCTAAATTCAAATATGTATTGCTTTTTGAACACCAAAAAATTCTCTCTCAGAAAACAGCAGAGAGAAAATTTAATAATTTGAGAAAATTATTTAAAATTTAGGGGGTGGGGATTTAGCTCAGCGGCAAAGCGCCTGCCTGGCAAGCACAAGGTCGTGAGTTCGGTTCCCGGTACTGGAGAAAAACCAAAAAACCAAAAAAAATAAAATAAAATAAAATTTAACTTTAAAAATTTAAAATTTGCAGAACTAATCTCAAATTTGAGATAGCTGTCTATAGTAGAAGAATGCAAGGATGTATTCTAGACTGTTCTTTACACATTCTCAATAGACAAAAGTTGCTACATTCTGGATATTCTTTTTTTAACAGCCTATACTCCAGGCTATCCTTGACACGCTAGGCATATCTATTTACTTATTTACATACTCTGTCAATAGTTGGACTGACTGAATTGCTGTGGATATAGCACAAGAGATTAAGCAAAAATTGCAAATGCTCTATGACTGAGGCTCATCTCCAGCAATATTAAAGCTTTCTTCAGATTTTTATAGCCTTCCTAAACATACTACAGTGATTTTAGCCACGTGGCATACTTTTTGGAAATTTAGCAATTCACCTCATCACGATGAGACTAAGGTTTGAGAAGACACCTGGTGAGACCCCATTTCCTAAACAATTACCAAATTTTCCATCAGCAGGAGGATTAGCCACTTCTACATCCCTCAGAAAAAATACAAACATCCGCACATTAAAACGGAAGATGAGTTTGGTTCAGAGTTTAGGTCCATGATCCACTGGCTCCAAGGAAAACAAAGGAAGGGAAAGAAAAAGTACTCAATTTTGTAGCAAGGGCACAGGAGATGATGGGAGGTGTCAGAAGCGAGATATTTTAATAGCAGGTCTATGGCACCCATCACAACACAGTGCCATCCACATACAAATCTTCCACATGTCATGAGTCTCCCAACCAGCCTGCCATGTTCACTGCACAATATGAGAAATGCAGCTTTTCTCAAAGTGGCTCAAGACAGAGCTCTGGACATTCGACAGCTATCTCACGTGGACAAAACAGGATACTTAGGTCTTGGCAGCTGTCTTAACCCCGCTCTGAAAGTGCAGAAGCTCTAAGGGTACATCAACAGCAGCTGATAAATAGAAAGTAAGACTCTTTAGTTGATGGGGCGGGGGAGAGACTCAGACTCTGCCAAAGCTGATTCTGTCCTCTCGCAACCAGACCTTATGCCTCCACCAGAAACCCCACTACTGTCTTGGCTGCACATTCATTATTTCCAGGATTGAGGGTCTCCCAGTGCCTTTCCCAAGCAGCTTTCAGTCAATAGAACTAACATAGCAAGTGAGTCTGTGCCAGCTGATGCAGCTGTCAGCAATGCACTGGGAGCTTTGACTTAGGTGCTTGACAGAGCAAGGGTCACTTCTCTTCCCAGCAAGCCTGATTGGATAGCTCACAGAAAGCCAATGCTTCTTTACTGATGTGCTACTGCTTCACTTCCTGCCTTCTGAGCCAAGAGGTACAAGAAAGAAAAATATACCACCACTTGGAGTGGAGCCTATATGATACACTCCAATGAAAACCCTTCTCAGCCCAGACTTCCTCCCAGAATACTGACTAACCTTACAATGAAAATTGAAGAAGATTTTCCACTAGCATTTAAGAGCGGCTACTACTTTTTTTTTTTCTATCTTTTTGACACAGTGTCTCGCTATGTTGTTCAGGCTGGCCTTGAGCTCTCTTTTGTTTTGTTTTGTTTTGGTTTGGTTTGGTTTTGCTTTTGCTTTTTGGTACCAGGAACTGAACTCAGGACCTTGTGCTTGCCAGGCAGGAGCTTGTGCCACTGAGCTATATCCCTGGTCCAAGCTGCCACTATCTTGTAAGAATACTCAATGGGCTTTTTCTGTGTTTTGTTGCTTAAAATGAGGTTACTGGTGTGCTCCTGCACCTCCAGATTCAAGTCTCATGGAGAACTAGGCTCCAGGCAATGGCAGGACATAGTGAAATGAAAGGAAAGACTGAAGGTTTTAGACGGTAGAAACTTGAATGAAGCACTTTGCCTCACAGTACAGACTTTCTCAAACCTTATCTATCATTTTACTTATGTTCAGCAAAGAAAATAAAATATACTGTGAAGGGAATATAATCATTTCATGAATAAAGACACTGGAGTAGTATGATAGTATTAGGCAAATGAATCAACATGAAAGGGAAAGCAATACTCAGATGTCTCAGGCTGGCAACCTTCAAGGTCACAAAACAAATCTAAATCATGAAGACAAAAGTTTCTAATCATGAGTATCAGTATGACATCCCTAATACCAATCATTTCCTTGTGATGAAGCAGGAGTCCCTAAGGATTTAACACTGCAAACTCTCTGCAGTACAGTCCACTCCTCACATATTGAAAACTTCTCTCATTCAATACATTAACTACACCACAAGAAACATTAGACCTGGAGCCATCAGGTGGTGAGCCTCAATGATCAACCTGATTGCTTTCAGAGATGCCTATCATATTAGTAACACACATCTCCGTGTGGGACTGAATCATGCATAAAGGCACAGACTTGGGAACCCTACCTGTTCCCTGGCTCCTTCCTCTCAGACTTTCTCTGCCCTCTGTTTCATGACCATCAACGAGTGGGCAGATTTCACTTTCCACGTTATCCTAGCATATTTCTTTTGAGCCAGGAGAATTTGGACCAATATCCCCAAAATATCCCCCAGTCCTAGTAGAAACTATACTTTTTAAAACACATTTTATTAGAATATTGAACTTTTATCAGTATTTCTGCAAACTTCTAATTTCAGCCTTAAAAGGAGTTGACAGATGCACCATTACACTCCTTGTCTCAATCTGTGGCAATACTTGGATTTATACAAGAAAATCCTCCTCACATATCATAATACAGGAAAGACTTCATCGTCTGAAGTCTTAGAGAAATAGGCATACACCTCCAAACAGAAATAGGCATACACCTCCAAGCATTTACTTATCCACCTTTATTAAACCTTATCAACAAATTCTTTAAAAACCTACAACATAGTCATAGCGGCTGTGGGCCCCATGGAGAGCAACTTACATAGGAAAGGGGAAAAAAGAAGGCAAAATGAGAGGAAAAAAGATACGAGTATAAATTCAATTCACTAAAATTCATCAAATTTGAAAACATTTGGAGTTTGCCTGGAAGAGATATAGGAACGTTTGCCCCTGGTGGTGGTAGTCTGGACAGTGTGTATTAGATTTTCAATGGAAACAAACTACTACCAAGTACGCTCTGAGCATCAGTGGCAGCAGCAAGTCTTTTATTCTTTCCCTTCTCTTGAATGCAGGCTACTTACCCCAGGGCGGGTGTAGCACTCACACCCATACTGCCAGCACTGGACCATGAATCAATCATAAATTCTAGTGGCTTGCCCCATGACTGCATGAGGCTTTGGGGGGGGACATCTAGAAACAAACCAAAACACTGTGTTATGATGACACACACTGGGGGTATTGAGGTCACACTAAGCGGGGAAGGAACTGAAGCTCTGTGCTTTATCTCAGGGTGCCCTTCTGCAGAAACCCTTCCCACGGGCTTCTCCAGGATGCCAGTATGAGAGCTGTCCACAGAGTGTGGCAAATGTAGGACCACTTGGGGACACAGAACAAATGCCCATTGTCTTCTCTCTCCCTAGAGATACAAATCACTGCAAAGGAAAAAGACCCCAAGTCTGGGAGGTGACTGTTCTAGGCAGATGTTTCAGCCCATTAAGACAAGGAAGAGGCAGTGGGAAAACAGAAAAGGGTAGAGCAGAAAGCCAAGTACTTTCTCCAAGACTGAGGAAGTAAGAATGGATCCCAGAATCGGCATAAAATGGAACTAGCAATGGAAGTGTTTTTGCTTCAACTTTGCACACGCTGTTGTCTTGTGGTCAAACTGCTCTGCCCTGGGTCTGAACACTGGAAATTTCTCTCTAGTCCCTTGTCTTCATGGAACAAGCCACACAGTATCACCAGGGCGGTGCACTGCTCTATAGTACTAAAACAAATAAATGCAAAAGAAATCAAATAAATGCACAAATAATAAATGCATAATTAAATGCATAAATAAAACAAAGCAAATCAGAAACAAAAGCAGCAGCACAGCTTTTTCCTTTTTATCAGAACACAACACTTAATGCATCCCAGTTCAGTTCCTTGGGAGAACCTCATTAATACGGCACTCTGCACATGGTACTACCTGAGAAGCTCACTAGTGTACAGAGAAGCGCTTTACAAAGGGTTGAAGGAATGAGTCTGCACATTGACTTGACCGACCACGGCAAAATATCTTGATCAACCAAAATATAATGTATTGAAAATACACTGAATATGCATAATCCAGCAAACAGCGCTAGGCCTTCTTTCCTTTAAAACTGATAAACACAATTATAATGACGTGTACTTGATAAAATGCAACACATAACGTTATCTCATTATAAAATACTAAATAGCTCGTGTAATTTATCGAACGCGCTGCGCCGTAAATCACCGGCTGTCTTCGCCTGTCCTGTCGCTGACAGCGCATCTGCAGCCAGCACTGCCGCACGGACACGAGTGTGAGAACAGTTCTCTTTTTCCTTTACGCTTCTGGACTGAATTCCGGGCAGGCCGTGCACTTGCTACACAAGTTCTTTAGATAGGACACACAGCCCCAGGGATTTTACTTTCTGGACAGAGCTGATAAGGCGCCGGGCCCAGGAGGAACTCCCACTCGGCAGCCGCGGGCAGGCTCGGTCCGCCATCGCTGCTCCCGCCGCTTCCGCCCTCACCTCCCCCCGTCCCGCCCGTCCGGCAAGAGGGCGCCCGTCCCCCAACGTCACCATTGCGTGGCTGGCGGGTCCCGCGGGGCTGCCCACAGAGCCTGCGGCCGGGAGAAGTCCGAAAGCCAGCCTGAGGACACAGCTGGGGCGGCTGTCAGCACTAAGATCAGAAGGTGAGCTTCGGCGCCCGGAAAGAGTGTCCTCCCTTTCCCCGGGCCGCCCGATTGGACAGTTCATACAGCCCGCCCCTCAACACTGATTGGCTCCTGCTCCATTCCCCGCCTTCTGAGGGGAGCGTGACAACAGAAGCCAGTCCTGACAAGTGTGCTGGCTACTCAAATGGGGCACTGTAATCAAGACACTTCCCGAGCAGTTTCTTTCAGGATGCCGGCCTGTCTTCGCCTGCGCTTAAGAAGAGTTTACTCCTGGATTTTTAGAGCTAAGTCTTTTTCTGTTTTGAAGATATGGTCTTGCTATGTAATTTAGTATGTTCTTGAACTCACTAAATACCTCAAGGTGGGCTTGAGCTCCCAGTGATCCTCCTGCTTCAGCCTTCGCAGTGCTGGCTTTACAGGGATGCACCACCCTGCCTGGCTACTCCAGTCTTCTTACTGGGCTCAGTGGACTCTTCCTGTGTGTGGCTCTTCCAAATGGGGTCACCGGTCAGCTAAGCTCGCTTCAGAGTTAGGAAGTCACTTTGAATGAGTGTCCTGCAGCCAGGCAAGGCCAGGACACGATATAACAAAAGGAGGGCCTGCAGTTGGGAAAGGTGAGAAACTGGGAATAAGGTCGTTGGCTTCCTGGACAAGACTTTCTCTCACTCTATCTCTTGATTTACACGTTCTAAGCCAAGAAAATATATGGCAGAAAGATGCAAATGATTGCTGATTAAACGTACTTTTTGGTGTTGAAAGCACTTCCGACTGTAAGTGCTCTGTATTCCCTCCTCAAAAGTTACTACTCTATCTTTCAATATATTAACATTGCTAGAAGG